GAGCTGCAGGCGGCCACGCCTGTGGACAGTCAATGTAAACAAACTGTCTTGCAGCCTGCCAGCGGATTACCCTGTTGGGCTGCGTGCAACCCGTGGGCCACAAGTTGCACACCACTGCTATAGACAGTTAAACTTGATGCCTACGTTTTTGCCTTTGGACATGTGCACTTCAGCCTCACTTTAGGCTCTGGGGCACCTATCTCCCCACATGAGCATGTGCACTGATGCCTCACATTATACATCTGGACACCTATCTTCCACCTAAACCCCAGAGTGATTCAGAAACAGGGAAAGACAGGCATCCGGCTTCCCAAGTTGTGTGTGGGGAGCCCGATCTGGTCGGTAGCCTCTGAACAAGCCTCCTAAACTGGGCCCCTCAGGCAAGTTTGCACAAAACACTCAGGGTGCACAAAACACTCACATTTACACAAAATCCTCTTTCTACTGCTCTGGTAATGTACAGGGATAATTTATGCTATAGTGATGTAAAGGGGCCTACGTGTAAATGAAAACCAAGGACTCAGACTCATTTACACACATATCAACTAGGTGTGTAATGTACCTGCTGCACATATTACCTCCTTATATGGTCCACTGAGTGAGCAAAAGGTGGTCTAAACTGGTGTGGTTTACTTGCAGAGGGTGTGGAAACAAAGGGTGAAGGAGAAAACTAAACAACAGTAGCCCAGTTTTCACTTTACCTTACAAGTCAATTTCACCTTCTTCTTAGAAATAGACTTGAACCAAATTTCTAGATCTAAACATCCCTGAATCTGGAGACGGGTTGGAATTCAAACCTGATATGGATAAGATTGTCAACTTTCTAATTGCAGAAAACGGAACACCCTTGCCCCACTCCTTCCTCAAGGACGCGCCTCTTCTCTGAGGCCCCGCCCCCACTCACTCCATCCTCCCTCCCTTTGTCACTCGCTCTCCGCCACCCTCGCTCACTTGCTCGTTTTCAACGGGCTGGGGCAGGGGATTGGGATGTGGGGGGGGGTGAGGGCTCTTACGGGGGTACGGGCTCCAGGGTGAGACAAGAAATGAGGGATTCAGAGTGCAGGAGGGGGATCCAGGTGGGGGCAGGGGATTGGGGTGTGGGATGGGGATGAGGACTGCAGCTGGGCGTGCGGGCTCTGGCGTGGACCTGGGGATGAGGGGTTTGGGGCGCAGGAGGGGGCTCCAGGCTGGGGGATGAGGAGTTCGGAGTGCGTGAGGGAGTTCAGGGCTGGGGCACAGGAGGGGATTTAGGATGTGGGGTCCGGGTGGTGCTAATCTCAGGCGGCCCTGGTATTTCCCGGTGACGGAGGAAGTCCTCGTGGCTCCCAGGAAGCAGCAGCATGTCCCTCCGGCTCCTAAGCGGAGGGTTGGCCAGGGAGCTCTGCCTGTTGCCCCCGCCCGCAGGTGCTGCCTCCATTGCCTGTGGTTCCTGGCCAATGGGAGCTGTGGAGCCAATGCTCAGGGTGGCGCCTGCAGGCGGGGGCAGCGCATGGAGTCCCCTGGCCACTCCTCTATGTAGGAGCTGGAGGGACATGCTGGCTGCTTCTTGTGAGCCACACGGAGCCTGCCTGCCCCGCTGTGGCCAACCGGACTTTTAGCAGCCTGGTCAGCTGTGCTGACCGGAGCTGCCAAGGTCCCTATTCGACCAGGCATTCTGGTCAATAATCAGATGCCTGACAACCCTAGATATGGATCCAAATTTTTCAAAAGGCCCCTCTATCTATAATGAGCTGTACCAAAACCCCAGCTCCAAACACTTCCAGATGTCAGGGGTGTCCAAAATTCACACGTGGATCCAAATTTTGTATCTTGGGCCTATCTCTACTTCCAACTCTGGACATGTTTGTTTTTCCAGCATTTGAATAATTTTCAAATGGTGTGACTTTGCCCATCTACATCAATTCTACTCCACCATCTTCCCTAGCTTTAGCCCTTCCAGTTTCACATTTATTTTAGTGAATTAAAGTCATTCTCAACTTAGCCACATAAGATTGGAGTCTAAAAATTGACATGTACATTAAAGATAGTAAAATATTTTCTATTAACAAAACTAAATTATCCTGTTTCCACTTCAATTGACAATGGAACACAGAATCAATTAGAAACTGGAAATATCTTCTTTCTAAAACCAGCAGATTCTTCATTTGTGCAATGTCTAACCACTGCAAATCTCAGCAAAAAATTGCACTGAAATGGTAGGTGGCTCCTAACTGTTACAAACTTTACAATGGCTTTTATGTTTAAATACCATTTAGCAGCTGTTAAAGGTCAGCACATATCCTTTCCTTTGCTAGTGTAGAGTCTGAAACTGCCAAGAAAAGAATGCATGGTGCATTAAATAATGTTTACATGTAGTAATTATTTTCTTGATTTATTTTCCCTGGGTAATGAAAGGGATCACTTAAGTATTTCCATTTTTTTCTTACTTCCATCTGACAATGTAAAACACTAATTAAAATATTTGTACCATAAATTTACTTACAGGGATGACACATTTTGTACACAAAACAAGCAAAACATCTGACACATTGTATTGTGCCAGGTGCTGCTAAGAATGTGCAATACAGATTGTCATCTGAAGGCTCAACACCCCCTCCCCAAAACTTGCAGCGATGTTTCATTATCAATTTTATTTCCTACCATACACCAAATGTACAGCACAGAACACAGTTTTGTTGCTTTGATGTAAGAAATATTAATTGTATGAAGAAACAGTATACAAACTACTCCAAATTAAAAAATGCATACATCATTGCTTTTTACAAAAGGTCTAATTTACAGTATAGCTCATCAATGCAGTTTAACACAAAAAAGAAAAAAAAGAAAAAAGAAAAAAATCAGTGCACATTACTAAACACATCAAGTACAAAGGAAGCAAATAAATACGAACATACTTCACAAAACATCCTGAGCAAACAATCCAAACACAGACAAATTAACCTGAAGCCATCGTAAATCATAGTAATAAATATATAGGTTGGCAAGAGATTTTTTTTAAATGTAAATTAAATAAAATATATAACAAATTTGTTAAAATATGTAGTTAATTACATTTTAGTCTTTGTAATGAGTGAACTCATTTTGTATGCATTTAACAAGTATAGCAAATGTTTGCTTTTTTTTTTTTTAGCAAGTACAATAACTTTAATAGCAAATTTTTGTTTGGTGTCCTCCTATTTATATTAGACAGCACATACTGTAGCTTTTTGAAAAATTGATTTAAAAATAAACACAGCTTCTAAGAACATACATCTTCTTCTGTCTAAACTAAGATTAGAGGGTTAAACCAACCCTCAAATGAAAAGCAAGCCCCACCTAATGCAGAACAGTGACCACAGTGCATGAGTTGAATCATCTTTGAATATTACTTTTTGTGCAGGAACAGTAATAATATATTTGTATATGTCAAGCCTGTGAATGCCATCATATTCAGTCTAAATATAAATGAGGCTAATAAAAATAAACACTTTCATTGTAGCACAGAAAAATTAAACACACGCTAGATCCATGTATACATTTACACTGAGGCACATATGCACATGAGGTGTGTGTGCATACAAAAAAGGCAGTTTAGCTGGTTGTTTATACCTTTTTTTTAAAAAAAATAAATATAAAAAAAACTTTTGAAACAGTGCTTAATTACTTACAATCCCTGAAATAGACATTGCCTCTGGTATAGCAACTACTAAACTCTGATTGATTCAGAAATTCAAAACCCAGGCTAACTGAATACAGATGCACAGCCAAGTACCTTTGAACATGTGTGCGTCTGTGTGTGTCCATATGTACTGTAGCACTTGGCACCCTACCAAAAGACTGGTAACCGATTCAATACCAACATTGTCCTTGTGTAAAAGGAGGGGTTAAAACCAACCAGTGCATTGCTACAGTTCAGGTTAAGAGAAAACCAATTACAGTGAGACTGGAGTATTATTTTTCTCCAGGTTGCCGCCTTCTAAGCTTCTCTCAGTTCCAACTAGTACGATAAATGCCATTTCAGGGGAGATTTGTTGGATTAACTGATATGTACAAAATCTTCAGTTTGGATGCTTTTGTGTTTTGCAAATACAAATGCATAATCATATTGGTCGCTTGTCTAATGTAACAACATATTGTACTAAAAAAATACTAGTCGTATCAAATCATCTCTCTTGTTTAGGGATGATTAGTTTTTCTCTCTGATCTAACTTGGAAAAAAAATGCATTGTTAAAATAATTCTGAAGTTCTTTTGAAACATTTTAAATAATTGTTTGCGTAGGCTAAAACACACAGCCAAGTCAAATGCTTTGCTGATTGCTATATTTCATTATTGCTAACAAATTCTTAAACACACTGTGTTCCAGCAAACTGTGCTTTTTAGAGCGCAGGTTCCCCACTAGTGGGAGCCATTTATCTTTTCATTCCTTGCTTCCTCACATCTTATGTTACTGCAAACCCATTTCTGATACAAAGCCATTATAAAAAAGCAAGATGTGATGAAAATAAAACTAGAACAACAGTTCGGTCATTTGTTACTTTCATAGTATTTTTTTTCTTCCTGTACAAACCCAGCAAGATATTTAATTTACAGTATAACTTTCAGTCTATTTAAAATCCCATTGGAAAATAAATTAATAAACACATTTGTAAAAATATGGCAGGCCGCAAAAATGCTGTTAAAAGATAAAAAAACACAACTCTTTGATTAGAAATAAATAAAAATATAAAAAATAGTTGCACACACTTTTTACATTCACTTTACAAAAACTGAGTGCAAAAGAAGGAAAAAAAGGAATTGTACTGAAATAAATACAATATATTAATTGAGTGCATTGCTGTTAATACAAATAGTCTGTTGTGTTTTCCTTCCTTTTTATGTCAGCTGGGAAAATTAGTGCAATGTTGCAATTGTAAATGCAGCACGGCAACCTACACGCCTTAGCAGTACATGAACTCCTAACAGATCCATCTGGAGTTTACTGCTGTTAAGTAATTTCTGTTGCCCAGCAGCCTTCACATCCTACACATGGATGCCCTTCACTGCCTGTTTGATACTTTCCAGCAGAGCTTTGCATTCCGGGGAATAGTCCCGTTCCAGATTGCTGTACATGTCTGTGAGTGTATTTACATATGCTTCGAAGTTCTGCTCACTGATTGGCCCCTAAATGAAAACAAAACATATTATACCAATTTCAGGAGCCAGAATTAAGGCCTCCTCCCCCAAAAAAGAATGTTAACAGACAATATGCAAAGTGACAATATGTCGGTCCTGTCTGAAAGCGACTGGGGACAGCTGAAGTCAGACGCATGGCAGGCATCCAAGTTACTGATGGGTTTGTTGGAGGTGAAGGGAGTTTAATTTGCTGTGGGAACCACATGCTTGCCCTCTAAGGGCACGTCTTCACTACCCGCCGGATCGGCGGGTAGCAATCGATCTATTGGGGATTGTGAGGCATTTGTCTTAGGTGTGCCCCGCTCTTTAATTCTGGCCAAATTCCGTGTGCCTTACTCAAGCATGTACTGCCTCGGAGTACAGTGGGACTGTGCGTAAATAAGAGGAGGAGGATTTGGATCTTAATGGGCGTACATTGTTCTTAGCTCCAGAGGCAGTTACAGAACAAAGTACTACGACAATGGTGGGTGGGGATGAAATGGGGTAAAACCTTACGAGCAAAATGCACAATCTGGGTTTTAAGAACAAAATGGGGAGCGTCTGGGTGTGGAGAGAGCAAAGAAAGACAGGTAGAAAGAAAATACACACACATACTGAGCCAAATCCTTAATGCCCTGGTTCAGCAAGTACTTAACCAGGTGCCTAACTTGAACCAAGTGAGTGGGTTCCACTTACTTCAGTAGGAGTATTAAGCATTTCCTGAATCAGGCTCTCAAACCAAACTTTTATTATCTTCAGTGAAGGGAGTTGGCCAATTCCCAGCCAAATTACAGGGCAGAATCAGTAAACTCCTCACATGTTTGCAACATTGTGACTGTACAGTAAAATGAATATAGGACTCGATGAGTGCTGTCAGAGATCCAATTGAATAAGACTCTAGACCCTCATCTTAACTGTAGCATGAGCTGAGAGTGCTCATCACCTTACAGGAGACATTGTTTCACAGGACCAAGATGAAGGCCTAATCTATCCTAGACTATGTTGTAATTCTTTTCCGGCACTGATGCAGTTGTATTGGTGCTAAGAGGTAATTTAGTTGGAATTCAGACATATACAACATTGCATCGTGAAAATCTACTGAGAGAAGATTATCATGAAATGGTGCTGTCCATGCTATTTGATGGTTCCATTGTCATGAGGAGTGAAGACGTCTGAGCCCTGTCTACAATAGGAGTTATACCACTGCTTTCGTCATGGTGGAAAAATGGATACAACATTTTCTAGTGTAGATCAAAACCTACAACCAGATTCTTGGATCTAGTGTAGATCAAAACCTACAACCAGATTCTTGGATCTGGCTGTGCTGCACTTGGTGATGGACATGGTTGGGAGGATGGGGAAAGGTGGATTTCTGCTTCCCTGATCCTCAGCCTGACCAAGTTTGAACCAGCACCTGACATAGCTTAGAGCATATAGGCTCCTGTAAACTAGGGCAGTCCCTTAGGGATCCTCCTATGAGTCTGGGATTCCTGAAGTGCAGTGAACAGGGATCTCAAGGAACAGGGGTCCAGAGCACAGAGCCACCAAAGGATTCTTCCCTACATCAGGGAAAATTCAGAATGTGACCATCAAACTCATTGCACATAAGATACTGGAAGGACATCAGAGTATCGACTACAGTTAGTTCCAGACTGAGCTACCCAGAAATGCAAGGTTCCATCCTTAAGGGTACCCATATCCCATTACCAATCCCAGAGACATGCAGCATAGTTTGATTTTAAATAAACTAATGTTTTACACAGAATGGGATTTTATTCCTGGAGGGTAAAGCATGGGCAGTATGTGAATATGGCTCCTCCCACTTGGCCTTTGGCATGGTTCTCTTTTGAATGAGAATACACACCAGCCACATTGAATCTTGTATAGATGGGTCTTAGGAAAGTGAGGCAAACATTTATTCTTGCATGGATGAAGATTGCCCCATGTTACTGCAGTGCCTCGAAGTCCAGGACACTTTCCCACACCTGAGGACTTAGCTTAACTCTGGATGGGACAGGGACACTCCTTCAGGTTGGGACTAGCATAAAATAGTTGCCTTGCATCAAATATTTGCTCTGCATCCTCTTATACCAGGACAGAGTTTGGGCTCCACTACCTCTCTATATTTCAAATGTTGGAGCTAGTAATATTCCAAACTTCATGCATTTACTGCATCATGCTCGTGTAGAGGGAGAGTAATGAACTGTGAGGAAATTGATTAAACCCTGGAAGGCAGTCCCATGTGAGATGGAATGGAACCCACATCAGTGATGCACTGAGTGACCACTCTGGCCAAACGTGTAGACAAATGCTCTCAAAGAAGCGGCAATGTTTTTAGCTACAGACTTACCATTTGTGGAAGCTGAATGTCGGCAAGGCTGGTAATGAGAGCTTGGCTTAAGCCAGCTAATTCCTTCAGCAGGCTCTCGTTGTTCTGCTCTATAAGTTTGTTCTCTTCTTCTATTGTTTTCAGATTGCTCTCCATAGATGTGATCTAAAATCACACACACAACAAGACCCTTGGCAGCATTATGATTGGAGTTTGAACCCAAAATGAAAGGTTTCCCTTGGAAGAGGGAGCACAAGACTGTGAAAGCTGCCAATTGAGATCTGAACCTCTGTTATGTTTTTGTAAGAGTTGCGCATAACATGGCCACAAGATATTCATAATAGGGGATAAGTCACATTAATTCTGAACCAGTGAACTCTGCTGTTGTTTCACAAGGAAAACTTATTTAAATGAAGCTGTAGACAGTGGCCCTGTTGAGTGAGGAGTGTATTGTGTTGGGAGGATGAGTTCCGAAATGGATTAGAGACCCCAGGTCTCAAGCTGCCAGGGAGGTGGAAGGGTCATTGTGTAGTTGGGAATGGGGAGTGTGGCCTCAGGGTTGGGGGAAGGAAGAAGAAAGCTGATGTTTACATTGCTCTTCTGTTCTCACAGCATCCCTGCTGATTGATTATAATAGCTGCAACACTGGTATTAGCTCTTGTGCTACTTTTCTGCCCTCCCCCTGGTGAAGGTTAGAGTTCTGAACTGATCGGGAATAGAAATAGGGCAGAGAGTGGAGACAATAAGAAATGAAATATACTGGGGAGGAAATTGAGAAGTTGTGTATGGAACAAATATGATTGTGCAGTCGATCTCTAGACAGACAGATGAAAATATAATTTTTGAAGAACCAACACTGAGGTTAGCAAAATGACATCCTTTTCTGGAGAATAACTAACAAGAATGAGAGAGCTTGGAATGTACACATTTGTGAAAGTTCGCATGCAAAAAACTGTGCTGAAAAGCTGAAGCTAGAGATGCTGGGTCCTGATTCTCCACAGCCTAACATCTTGTATAGTAATTTATATCTGTGCAAAGTTGGTGAAAGTGCAGCATAAATCACCACAACCCCTGCTCTTGAGTTTCTTGATACAATCACAACTGTTGGCCAGGTCAATTTAAGAAGTGACGGGACAAAGACAAGCAGGGGATGTGCGGATTCAGCAAGTCTCTAGTTCACACAATTGTAATTTGAGGCCACTATAAACTATATTGAACTTGTTTGGGATGAAGTTGGATTCGTTCTTATTTTTCAGGTCTATTACCCTTCAGGAAGTTCCACCTAGAATCTTAATGCTCCTAACATTCTGAGGCAAGTTTCTGTTCTCACTTTCACCTAGTTCACCAGGTGAAATAGAATTGAGTATATATGTCACCCTGTGTATTTACATACTCAGCTCAACCTGAACTGTGGACCTGCAACCAGCACCTTCACCATAAACTCACTCATATACATATAATAAAAAATGGAAAAAGATCAAGAGATCTGTGCCTTTGCAATAGCTCCTACCCTACCTAAGGCACTGCACAGGTTAGCAAATGCAGCCGCTGTCTGCTATCTACTGTGCAGAAGCAAAATTCAGACTATTTAAATTAAAATATTCATTAGCTGAATATGGTGACCAGAACTAGGGAAAACTGTAAATAATAATAATAATAAAAATCTACTCTCAGTAGTAGTTAGAGTGTGTTAATAAGAATTCACAGTCTTGTGACCTAATGGCTTCATTATATTACTATGAAGCCTCCTTACATGGGTTCTTAAAATGCCCACAGGATATCATATGCAGGCGTGTGGTTAACAAAAGAAAGTACACATTTTATACAGTAAATATGATTTCCTTGTTTGCTAAGATTAGTTCCTAAAATGCTTAGTTCCTTTTATTCACCTGCAAGTCTTTTCTACTAATACGCAGGCGTTTACTGTTAAATGGAAAAGCTTGTCAAAAATTATTTAAAGCCACAGTGCAATGGCATGTGTGTAGATGAGAAAAAGGATACATAAGCTTAAAAATAACATTACATATGTACATTAGAACTGATTGAATTGTTTGCTTTGTTGTTATACCTGGGTTTGAAGTTTCATCATGTCAGCTTCAATTTTAAGATTGGATTCATTCAGTTCTTTTATTTCCTCATCCAAGTGTCTGATTTCCTCATCAGTCTCGATACCTGCAAAAAGGTGAATGGACCAAAGACAGATTTAAATGTGAACATGTGAAAAGAAGTAATATTCTGTGGGTACCTGTGCATTGAACTGTGTAGCACAAAAAAACATGCTTTCAGATTAAACTGGGGATCTTTAAATGGGTTTTTACTGATGATGTTTGTCAAAACTGCACCCTGTGTTGAAGTGTCTTTGAAAGCAGGAAGAGAGGTCAAAGGGTAATTTGAGTTTCACTGACCTACTGTATTTCCCTGTCAGAGTGGGTCCCCCCCACTGTTCAGTAAAACAATCAACCACAGCAGGGAGAGAGATGTGAGAGGGAAAGAGGATCTGTGGGCATTGAGAGAGGAAAATCCAAAACACAATCTTTAAAAACAATAATGCAGGGTATGTTGTGATTTTGGTGGAGATTTTTAGATGTAGCAGAAAAGTAAGAGCAGTCCCTCTCCCCCTCCTCCTCCAGAGGGATCAGATCCTCATAACTCCATTGGCTTCAATAGAGCTATGGCGATTGACACCAGCTGAAGATCTGCCCTGGTCCTGCAAGGAGCTCTGTATGGGCTGACTGATAGAGAAGGATCAGGGCTTTAGTTTGCTGTGATACATAGTGTGGTTTAAAGTACTGTGAGAGGGAAGTTGTAGAGAGGCCAAAAGAGGCAAAAGAGGCAAAAGGAGAAAAAGCAGCACTCACTATTCACACCTACCAGCTGAAAAAGAACAACCCACCCAAGCCTTAATAAAAGCCTGATCCTGAGATGTACTGAGCATCCACCACCCCCAGTGATGAACGTTTCCCCCTCACTCAGTATCACTCTGGGTCTAATTCTGCTTGCAGATTAATTATTTTTATTTCCATAGCACCTACAGGCCGCTAAGCTCAGCACCCCATTGTGTTGGGCATATTACAAACACACAGTAAGAGACAGTCCCTGTCCTGAAGACCTTACAGTCTAAATAGACAATATGGACAAAGGGTGGGGAACAGAGAGAAGTGAATTCACTTGCCCAAGGGTAAAGAATACCACCAAAGTCTCCTGAATCCTGTCCCTGGGCCCTACCCACAGGAAACAGAATCAAGTTCCCTATAACTATTTGACAGATGTTCCATTCTATTTAATGTGGGGAGAATTGTCAAAGTATTGCACGGAGACTGAGCAATACAATATGAAGTTAATGGGAACGAGGTAGCTAAACTCTGCTTTACACATGTATCCCTCTGGGGGTTTGTTTGAAAATCTTTATTTAACTGAGGTAACTCCTGCTGGTTTATGAATAACACAGAAAAAAACAAACCCCAAACCTGAATCAGACTTAGTTGTGTAGTTGTGTACCCCACATGTTATGGTCCATGGATGTAAATGATGTGTGAAGGACATGTATCTTCTGTGAAGAAATGTTATTGCTTTTAAAGAAAGAGAACTTAAAGGCATTTATACCCATTTTCAGACCCCTTTACATGGTCAGTGTAGTGTAAAGAGGCAACGTGTAAATGAGAATTGGGTCCCTAGCAGCTGTATAAATGTAATCATCATTTGCATGTCTCCTTACCCCCACTTGCTTTAAGCTTGATAGTCATTAGTTCTTCTGAGATTTTGCCCTTTTTTATGGCTTGTGCATTCAGAGGACACCCTGACAAGCTAGAAAAGATAGAAAAAATGCTGTGACCCATGTGAAAATGGAAGCAATCCTTTCATAGCAATGTTACAGTGCTCATGTTCAGACCTTGATTCCTAAGGTCATGTCAGCAGCTCCATTATAACCTTGTTACAGGGAATAAAATAATTCACAAAGAGCAATTTTAGCTGTAAAAAAAAATGTCTGGCTTGAAAATTGGCACCGAAGTCTCAGCCTCGAAGCAAACTGTTTTTACAGACATTTCAAACAAATGAAAATAGCAGTGGGAGCTACTCTAAGGTTATGTGAATGTGATATTTACAGAAATCTTGAGGTCATATTGTCCCATCAATTTTTAAGCAAAACTTTCCACTGTGTTTATTGACAAATTATGCTTCAGAAAAAAGGGGGCAGTAGCATCCCTTTGAATGCTGAGTTTACCAACTAAAAAAAAAAAATCTGACGTGAAGATTTTCACTGTGCCTAACTATAGTATCATTTTGATGATGCATAATAATGACCAATATGATGATACCTCTGGATTTATACTATAGGCTGCAATAGCTTTTTTAAAAGATTGTATTATATATACACCTCTACCCCGATATAACGTGACCCAATATAACATGAATTCAGATATAATGCAGTAAAGCAGTGCTCCGGGGGGGTGGGGCCGCGAACTCCGGTGGATCAAAGCAAGTTTGATATAATGCAGTTTCATCTATAACGCGGTAAGATTTTTTGGCTCCCAAGGACAGCGTTATATCGAGGTAGAGGTGTAGTCACTTTGCTTTTTGATGACTGTCAGAGCTATTTGCTATTTCAAATCTTACAATTGGTAATTATATGAGGCCATTTGCAGGGAGCACTCAAGGGCTAAGATTGACTGCACTGTCTTTAGAAGTAAACAATAAGAACTACCCCTATTCTCAAGAAATGGCAGAGAGATTCATATTCTGATTTAGTCAAGCTGGGAGTGAAGGAAAATTTTGCACTAGTGGGACAAAGTAATGGTTTTGCTTAGCTTGTGAAAAATAAGAGTTCTAATGAAAGTGGTGTTTCCACACAGGGAGCAATGAGGGCTTCTAAGATTTGAAGTATAGACCACTATTTCTTTGTCTTGAGCAGACTACTGGCCAGAAAGATGTCCCAATGCTAGCAGGCCACCAGAAACTTGTTCAGTCTTCTCTACACTGGGAAAATGCATCATCTTACAAATCATGTTAACTAGTGAAGTTCTTAAGATTTCTTTTTTCTCCTTGTAATGTCTTCAGGGCTGGATCTAGAAAGCACAGGTCTCATGTAAGCTTTCTCCTGCATGGAGATGGCTGGTAAGAATTTTGCAATTTGTGAAATAACAAAAATTAATGCAATTGTTGCTTTTGCAAAACCTTGTGGTGAAATTCCAATAACATTTTGGATTACCTACTAAAGATACACAATCAATACTGGTAATTTCAAATATGTCTAGCTACCTTCTTCTTGTACCAAAAACCTGTAATCAGTCTCAGGAAATCTAGAAAGATCTGTGAAAGTCATTGTCTCGTGGGCAATGTTAAAAACAGTTCTAACCTCATGCAAACTCTCAAGTTATTCAGCTTCCTATCGCCTCAACTGCTATATAAACTCTTTATAAGAATTCAACATAAGTTAATTAGATTACAGCTTTATTTTTTTAAAAGCAACACTACAGTGGATTGTCAAGAAAAAACAACAAACAAGAGAGAAAACACAAAGTTATACCTTCTGTGGGTGACAAAAACATTATTAACATGACCCAGCCCGTTGCAGCCTGGCAAAGGACAGTGTGGCAGCTCTTGTTTGTTCAGTTTCCAGGATAATGAAGACCCATTGAGAGGACTCTCCTTCTGTCTCTTGGCAGCCAAAGGACAACCAGAAGCAGTGCGATGAGAAGTGTATTTACCTGATATGTGACCTTGGCCATCACAGCCTATCACTGGACATCTACAGAAACACAGCAAAAGAATCCTTATATTTACTCAAGAGAACAGAAGACAATAGTCTAACAATAACCATCTAAGAAAAGGAGTCTAAGTGGCTACTATGCTGTCTGTGCAACTGTATTATGGCTTGATCCTGAGAAGCCCCTGAATGTCCCACTGATGTCCGTGAGAATGAGGGGTGTTTGGCAAATCTCAGGATTAGGCATTTCTAATACAGCTGTATGCCTTAACCACTTCAGCACTGACATCATATAAAACTATGTCAAAGAGAAAAAATTTGTTATCAGAGGGAGAAAAAGAATCACATTTTAACGGGTTTGTGAAGAGGCAACATTTTTTGTTCTCTATTCAAATTTTTGGCAAAAAACAAAAGGTGGTTTTCTGCAGGTGGAAAACTGTTATTTCCAAATATATTCCAAATACTTGCCAAGGTGAAACCTGATAGTTTTGCAGAGCTCTGTCAGCATTAATGAGAACATGCCTAGGGCCTTTCATATGACATACCAGACGTCTGAAAGACAATCACTAACTGAAATACTAAATAGTAAGAGCAGCACAGGAAATAACTAAGTCCTTTGTTGTAAATGAACTGGTCCTACATGGCTTGGCAGCTGATTGCTTATTTATTTATTTTCACAGAACATATATTTGAGTTAGGAATAAAGTTGATTTATGTAGAGTTATCAATTCTTGCCTTGGTTGAAATTTTACCCCTGTACAGAAGAGGGATGGCATAAGGCCTATGTACCACTTCTATCCCCGTAATCCACATTTTCAGGGCTTAACGTGTGACTTGTGGTAGCTCTTTGCATAGGGATGGATTTCACCCTTTGTGTCTCCAATTGTGATACATGAGATTTTGGTGAATGTTTGCAAGAATTTGTTAATTGGATCCAGGCTTAAATTTCACCACTGCTACAGTTTATTGTAGCAAATATAGCAAGATTTTGCCACAGTCCAAAATGTTGTGAATTTTAGACTGTGAATTTTCCTAAATTTTGCCACACTTTGTGTCAGATAGGACTGGAATGAAATGTTCCACCAGTTTCACTAGCTGTGGAAATATCCTTTATCTTAGCTTTAACAGTAGGACACACCCACATACGTCTAAGAATAACTTGCACATTTCTTGGGATGTACCAAGCACCATCTTATTCTCCCTTTTGGCTGATAAACTCTTGCTTCTGCACTTACTTAAGTTCAGGGTCTTCTTTTTCTTCCTTGGTAGGAGTAACTTTGACACCACCTTTCCTGGCACGAGGGCAACCAGACAAGCTGAAAGAAGTACACAAAAGAAAAACTATTTTGTTCCGCTGACACGTTCCATGATTTCCCACAGCTTCACTCCCAAACAACTGAATGATTCTTACCTTCTGTGTGAAGCATAATTTCCAGTCACATGACCAGAGCCATCACAACCAGGTGTGGGACACCTAATATAATGCACAGAGCAAAAGAGATGACTTTTTAAAAAGGAACAGACAAATTTGTCTTCAGTGGAAGAAACAGCAGTGGCGCTTTTGCTGAACAAACACAACTAGCTCTTGCTGATATTTTTTTCCAGTAGGCAAACTGCTTTCATGTTTTCTTCTATAATTGTTTTTTTTAAATAGGGAACTTGAAATATATTGTATAACACAGCATTGCAGATTTGAACAGTATATGTTAATTTTTTCATAGCAAAATATTTCTTTTCTTATGAAGGAGCAACTGTGGAAAAACAAACATGTAGCCTTTTATTTGTTGACTTCTCTGTGAAATAACTGTTATGTGTTTATTTGCTGTCAGACTTACAATGACCGGCACATTTTCAATATAATCTCCATTTTATAGAAGGGGAAATTGAGGCTGAGAAGTTATGTCACTAAAGGTCACAGAGAAAATCAACATCATAGCCAGGAGAAGAACTCAGGAGTTTCTGTTTTTTAGCTCTGTACACAGAAAGGAGACCACGTCTGTTTTACATAGGATATGACTGGGTATTTTATTTGGCAAGTGGGCCTTGATTCCATTTTAGAGTTCAGGGGCTTTTCTGCATGCAGCAAACAGAAGCCTTCAAATTTGAAAGTTTAGTAACAAAATATTTCAGCATCCTAATGGAAGGAATAAATCTGTATCTTACTGTTAGGACCATACTTTCTCACTGGTGCTCAGATTGAATAGACATGTTGGCTGTGCCAATGCATGTGGGGCAAAAATCTGTCTGGGGATTGGTCCTGCTTTGAGCAGGGGGTTGGACTACAGATATTCTATGATTCTATGATTCTAAAGTCTACTGAAGTCAATAAGAGCCTTTTCATTGACTACAATGGGCTTTGGATCAGGCATTTGCTGGTTGAGTGGCAGATATTTAGGTTCAAAATGAATCTTGTACATATTTGAAGGGATTTTCTCTTTTGCCGTAAGTGTTCCTTTTAAAAATTCAGAAAGAAGAAACACACCTAGGCGTACAAAGCAGCACTAACAGCACAAGGAAAACATTTACCTTCAGATGCTGTGCCAGGTATTTGTGCATTTTTGTACAGTTTTGAGTACTAAAGCTAAGCCTCCCCAAGGGCCTTTGAACACTATGTTTTTTTCCAGAGTATCAGAATTACAGAAACATCTGTGCCAAGTAACCTTGTACTGATCCACTATGGAAATTCACATTGTTCAATAACCCTCTACACGTCACAACATCTTACCCGTGGTGGAAGCATTGTGGTTGGGTGATCTAAGTACAGGCATACTGGGATACTGTATTAAACACCTAAATATACAGTTGTAAACTCTCTTTTAAAGGTACAGTTGCACCTTTTAGAAGTGTATTATTCTATTTTTTTACTGCATCAATATTTAAACCATGATAGTTGGGGGGATCAAGTGGGTTTAAAGAAATGATAAAGAACTAACTTATATTGGTAATTAATCACAGGAATGACTGATCAAGGGGTGTAGTGGATTTTCCATCACTTGAACTTTATAAAATAAGACTGGCTGCCTTTCTAAAAGATATGCTATAGCTCAAACAGAAATTATAGGCTTGATGCAGAAATTACTGGGTGAAATTCCATGGCTGTGTTATGTGGAAAATTAAGCTAGATGATCATAATGGTTCCTTCTGGCTTTAAAATTTGGGAACCTTTATCATCTCAGGCACCAGGTAAGGTATTCTGTACCAGTCCTTTTCTGTAGTACTCTGTGTACCAATAAGCCTCTAATTTTAAGTGTCTTCAATCTGACTAAAGTAACCACTTTTAAAATCTGTTCTTCACTGCAAACTGTAGATTAGCTGAAAATCAGAAAAGGTATCTTGCTGGCTTAGTGAGTCAAAATAGAAGGCAAAAGTTTAACTTGATTATTGCAAATTGAATGTGAACATTATTGTAAAAATATATGCATCTGTTCTTTTTGATGCCATATATATCTGTATAACTATGTGAAATAAAACTAGGACAATGGTCACTGGGGGCTTGATCCTGCAAATCCTTGTGCATCTAAGGATATATCTACATTGCAATCAGCATTTGCAGTGTAGACACACCATGAGGTTTTTTACTCATGTAGTCCCTGTGAACTAAAAGGCAATACTGATGTGAGTATAGCTACGCAGTTGCAGAAGTGTTTTCAGGATCTGGGTTTAGGGTTTCTTTTCTCCTTCCTTCTTCCTATATTTTTTTTCTAGATAATGCTGTAGAAGAATATACCTTTTTTAAAATGGGATTTTATTTAAAATTGGATAGAGTGAAATTAGTTTTTGCTCAAACCTGAAGCTGGATGACCGATGTGTAGCAAATAATTTTACTGGACCCTTTTTTCTCTTTTCAAATGGTCTGGGAACAAATTTTGAGTTTTACTATTTTGCTGGTTATTTGAAATTCAACGCTGAACACTTCATGCAACCTATTTCTCCTTATGGGCTGTTCGTGAACTTTGACTATATCTTCCATGACTCACTCGTTATTCATAGCATGTGGTTAGTAACTCAGGTCACATGTTGTTGCTTCTCTTTCCTTATTACACAACTGAAACTTTATAAGCTTTAGTTAAACAGTATCTATGTGGGTATGCAAATGTCACTGTTCACATGTGACTATGTGGGTTTGCATGCAGAGCAGCCATTTATTTTGTTTGTGTGAACACCCATTCAGCTCTGAGTTCATGGAAAGCAAGTAAAAGCGCTGAATCAGCGACTGATTTAGAAATTGGCACCATTTTCACGAATCTTTGTTCTGTCACTCTTTCCACAGCTTTATTCAAACCAAATGCTGGGGAGGTGAGTTCAGCAGACCCCAAAGTTGAAATGTCATGCCATTGTGTCAGCACCTCAGTAATGACTATGCTCTAAGAACAGCTTTCACCTCTTGCCCACATAGCTGGCCTTTTCCTACTGCCTTTGCTCTGTCCCTAGAGAGCAGGCTTTCCTTGGCTAGAGTCACACAACATATTTTTTACAATGCAGGGCAGCACCTGAATATCATGACTGGAAGCGGCATTGTTTTATTTTGGGAAGTTGACAAACTTTCTAGCTAAACCCTGAACTTAAAACCTGGATTTGGCCACCTGTACTTGAAACGCCATTAAAGCAGTGTAAACGTACCATCATCAGAACTTACTTTCCTCTATTTGGACGGAGGGCGACTCTAAATATGGGCAGGGTGTACAGGCCCACAAACCCCCACTATGTTCTAAGCCATATACGGCAGGACCCCATTTATTGATTCAAAGAGAAAAGAGGGCTGGCAAACCTGTCAAAAGCTACATCTACACTACAAGCAGGGGATTCACATCCGTAGCTTGCAGTGTAGATGTAGCTAAAAAGCACCAACCATCCTTTTACTTCACTCCCTTCTGTTGACAAAAGCCGTCCATTAACTAGGTGATTGGCTGCCAATCCCTCTGCTGACTCCCATGGCCAGCTGTGCAGATTACTGAGGTCTGCTTAAGGCCCTGTACATCTGCCTATCTACTGGGGCCTGCAAAACCCTTTTGTGTCATTTCATGGTGAGAAATATGCAACACGGAATCATATGATTTGCCAGCTGCCTCAGTGACATTAAGCTGAGGGTATCTATCTAGTGCTGGAGGATGAAGACTGAAGATTTGCAGGCTTGGCTTGTTTTGGTTTTCAAATGTCTGAATACTTATCCTAACCTCTTTGATCTAGAAATCAGACGGGGTATTTTGTGAGATCAGATTCTTTGTAAGACTTTGGTACTTCCTGGCTCCAGCTGGTTCAGAATTACCAGCAGAACAGCCTCTCTTTCAACGTTCGGAGTATCTGCACCAGGTTTGGGGAAGTGTATGGATATGAAGAGGTGCAAAAACATGAAAAACAAAGAAAAGTGAGCCCAACTTTTCTTAAAGGCTTTGGTTTCGATTTGTTTTCACGTTTGGGACAAGGGGTTGAACTGGCTTTTATTTTACAAAGATCAATTCTCTTACCTATTAAATAACTGCATTTGTTTGGGAAACATGCCAATATGAGATGAACAGCAATCACCAAACCAAAGCCTTTTTTTCTATTGTCATTACTTACTTAAGCTCTTGAGAGTTGGCAGCCATAAGGGATTTTAATGTCTTGTCGGCTAATGGGCACCCGGAAACACTAAGGAAAACAGATGTGAAACATGTTTTCTTCAATATGCTAAAACAGAAAATGATTTTTCTAGAAAAGCATTAATTATTTATTATGGAATAGAAACAGCCCCCCCCCCAAAAAAACCCAAAAAACCACACTTGCTGTTGGCAAACGAGAGTTAGATAATACAGGGTAGTCATTCTTTAGATCGGAGCAGGTTACTTGCTCGGAGCCAGGTTCTGTCTGGTCCCAAAGCAGTTATGCATGGAGCTGGTTAGAGTACAAAGAGCTTTCCCACTCTTTTGTGTTGCCAGCATAAAGAGCTGTAGTTCATATTGTTGGGGAAAGGCAAGGACTGCTTCCTCCATACATCCAAAGGGAACGGCAGGAGATGGGACCATTGTCCCAGCTCAGAGAGGAAATAAGGGGCACCACACAAAAAGCATTTGCAAATTTGAGAACTTCAGAGCCACCTGTACTAAAGTTTGTGGAAACCTACTTTTAAATCTGTATTCATGGCAGTAGTGTTTGCACACTCATCCACTTAAGGACGCACAAACAGTACCATATGACTTATCTAACCAATCTCAGCTAATCCACACAGCTTGCATAACAAATAATCAAAGTGAACTGTTTGTAATCAGCTAAAAAAACCTTGAGAGATATACCACAAGAAAAAACAAAGGCTGAGTTTGCTGGGTACATTAATTGGCTGAAAATTATTTGCCCAATAGTGTTATATATAAAAATATTAGAAGCTGACTGTACATAAAGCAGCTCTACTTCCTGTTATGAGTTTTTGTCATTTCTCACCTGCGGTGTGATGCATAGTTTCCTGTTACGTGACCACTGCCATCACATCCTGGAGTCGGGCAGCTGTGTATAGAAAGTGCAGTTAGAGTTAAGACTGTTTCCAAATTATGTAAATACAGTTCACCCCCCCGCTAAACAACAACCTGCCACATACCAACTTCACACCAACTACATTTGACATGATCTAAAATCAATGTTATCATCATGACAGTACCACTCTCGATCTAAGTATGTGGGTTAGAACACAGTACAGTTGTGTAAAGTTTCATAACCCATGTGAATCAAAACAATTTTATGTATCTCTGGGTTAGCTGAAACCACCATATGTTTTGCATAGATTTTGCAGTTACCACAGATCATGGTGCAGTCTGGGTAGTTTCATTACTGCCAGCTATTTTTTATGACAATTCATAGATTTTCAGGTCAGCAAGTACCATTATGAACATCTAAGTCTGACTTCCTGCATAACAATAGGCCACAGAACCTCCGCCAGCAATGCCTGCACCATGCCCATAACTTCTGGCTGAGCTAGAACATATCTTTTAGAAAGGCATTCGGTCTTGATTTAAAGACTTCCAGTAATGTAATTAGGTGTCATTGTGACTTCCAGGACAGACACAACTGACCATTCATCCAACTGCAGCCCAGAGTGAATAGGTTCAATTCCCTAGGAAGCTTCTGGGCTATATTCAGCAATAACAAAAATGATGGTATACATGTAGTACACTGGCAAAATTGTGCCATGTCTCCACTAACATCCCACGGGCTTCTACCAGCTAACTGACTTATTTCCATAGCTCAAATTGTATAGGTGTGTGCTGCAATGCCACATCTTGAGTTCAATCCTTGCTAATGGCCATAGTAAGGGGATCATAAATTACAAGATTAGTGTAAAGTGAGTGTAAGTGGCAAAGCACTAAAAAATTGCTCCAAAGTAGTAAAATAAGTCTGACTTAGGCTATGTCTACACTACAAAATGATAT